TGCTTCAACATATGAAAATCTATCAGTGTAATCAACCATATAAACAAACAGCAAAAGAAAAACCACATGATCATCTCACTAGATGCTGAAAAAGCCTTTGACAAAATCCAACACCCCTTCTTGCTAAAGGTTCTGGAGAGATCAGGGATAACAGGAATATACCTGAACATAATAAAAAGAAAATACTGTAAACCAACAGCCAACATCAAACTAAATGGAGAGAAGAAACAACGCGATTCCTCTAAAATTAGGAACAAGACAAGGCTGTCCACTCTCTCTATGTCTCTTCAATATTGTACTTGAAGTTCTTGCTAGAGCAATAAGACAAAAGGAGATCAAGGGGATACAAATTGGAAAGAAAGAAGTCAAACTTTCACTGTTTTCAGATGATATGATAGTGTACATAAGTGACCCAAAAAAACTCTACCAGGGAACTCCTACAGCTGATAAACACCTTCACCAAAGTGGCAGGATACAAGGTTAACTCAAAAAATTCAGTAGCCCTACTATATACAGACAGTAAGTCATCTGAGAAAGAAATCAGACAAACATAGCCCTTTACAATAGCCACAAACAACATAAAATATCTTATGGTAACACTAACCAAACAAATAAAAGACCTGTATAGCAAGAACTTTGAGACTATAAAGAAAGAAATTAGAGAAGATCCCAGAAAATGGAAAGATCTCCCCTGCTCTTGGATAGGTAGGATCAACATAGTAAAAATCTTGCCAAAAGCAATCTACAGATTCAATGTAACCCCCATCAAAATACCGGCACAATTCTTCACAGACATTGAAAGAACAATAATCATCTTTATATGGAAATACAAAAGACCCAGTACAATAAAGGAACTTCAGGAGGCATCAACATCCCTGACTTCAAGCTCTAATGTAGATCTATATTCATGAAAACAGCTTGGTGTTGGCACAAAAATAGACAGGTAGACCAATGGAATCGAATTGAAAACCCTGATATTAACCACACACCTTTGAACACCTGATTTTTGTCAAAGAAGCTAAATTTATACAATGGAAAAAAGAAAGCACCTTCAACAAATGATATTGGCATAACTGGATGCAGGCATGTAGAAGACAGCAGATAGATCCATATCTATCATCATGCATAAACTTAAGTCCAAATGGATCAAAGACCTCAACATAAATTCAGCCACACTGAACCTTTTAGAAGAGAAAGTGGTAAGTACCCTTGAACAAATTGTTAAAGAAGACTGCTTCCTGAACATAACACCAGTAGCACAGACACTGAGATCAACAATTAATAAATGGGACCTCCTGAAACTGAGAAGCTTCTGTAAGGCAAAGGACACAATTAACAAGACAAAATGTCAGCCCATAGAATGGGAAAAGATATTCACCAACCAAACATCTGGCAAAGGACTGGTCTCCAAAATTTACAAAGAACTCAAGAAGCTAGTCTCCAAAACACCAAATAATTCAATTAAAAAGTGGGGTACAGAACTAAATAGAGAATTCTCAATAGAGGAGTCTAAAGTGGCTGAAAGACTCAACATCCTTAGCCATCAGGGAAATGCAACTCAGAACAACTCTGAGATACCCATCTTAATCCTGACAGAATGGCTAAAATCAAAAACACCAAGGACAGTTTATGCTGGAGAGGATGTGGAGAAATGGGAACACTCCTCCACAGCTGGTGGGAGTGCCAACTTGTACAACCACTTTGGAAATCAGTATGGCGTTTCCTCAGGAAAATGGGAATCAGTCTGCCACAAGACCCAGCAATTCCACTTTTAGGCATATACCCAAAAGATGCAAATTTACATACCAAGCACATCTGTTCAACTGTGTTCATAGCAGCATTATTTGTAATAGCTAAACCTGGAAGCAACCTAGATGCCCCTCAACTGAAGAATGGATAAAGAAAATGAGGTACATTTACACAGTGGAGTACTACTCAGCAGAAAAAAAACAAAACAAAAAACAATGTAATCTTGAAATTCGCAGGCAAATGGATGACACTAGAATTAACCATCCTGAGTGAGGTAACCCAGTCACAAAAAGACAAACATGGTATGTACTCACTCATGGAGTTTAGATATGGATCAAGGGACTGCCAGCCTGCAGCCCACACCGCCAGAGAGGCTGGGAAACAGAGAGTACCCTAAGAGAGACATACTTGGTATCCTGGAGAAGAGGAAGGGAACAGGATCTTCTGAGTGGATTGGGAACATGGTGGGAGGGGAGAGGGATCTGGGAGAAAGAGAGGGGGGAAGAAGAGGGGAGAGGAGGATATGGGTGAGCAAGATGTTTGAGTTGGGGGAAGAATAGAGGAGAGCAGGATGAGAGATACCATAACAGAGGCAGCCATTATAGATTTGAGGAGAGATCTGGCACTAGGGAGAATTCCAGAGATCTACAAGGATGACACCAACTGGCAATGTAAGCAATAGTGGAGAGGCTACCTTAAATGCCCTCCCCTATAATGAGATTGATGACTACCTTATATGCCATCCTAGAGCCTTCATCCAGTAGCTGACGGAAGCAGAGGCAGACACCCACAGCTAAACACTGAACTGAATTCCTGGGATCCAGTTGCAAAGAGGGAGGAGTGAAGAGCAAAGGGGTCAAGACCAAGCTGGTGAAACCCACAGAAACAGCTGACATGAACAAGGGGGAGTGCCTGCTCCCCAGACTAATGGCTGGGAGGCCAGCATGGGACTGATCCAGACCCCCCTGAACGTGGGTGTCAGTCAGGAGGCCTCGGCAATCTATGGGACCTCTGGTAGTAGACCAGTATTTATTTCTGGCATATGAATGGACTTTGGGAGCCCATTCCATGTGGAATGATGCTCTCTTGGCCTGGACACATGGGGTGGATATAATCCTGACTTGGATTATATGACAGACTTTGGAGATCCCCATGGATGGCCTCACCATCCCAGGTAGGGGAGGAGGAAAGGGCTGGGAGGTTTGTGTGGGATGGGGAGGAGGGTCGGGAGAGGTAGCTAGGATTGACATGCGAAGCAGGCTTGTTTCTGATTTAAATTAAAAAAAATGGAGTTGGGGATATTCATTCTAGAACACAGTGAATTTTAGAGAAAAAAAAAAGATCAAAGCTACACAGAAGAATGTGAATGCATTCTCTGAGGAGTCATGCCCTAAAGGAGAGAGAGCAGATACTTATAGTGCAAGGTCTCAAATTACAGTTAATATCTGCAGATATGTGTGCACTCTGAAGGACTGAGTATTTATAGTTGACCACAGTCTACTTTTCTAATAAACCTTTCTATAATTGAAGTTGGCTACTAGTCTTTTCATTTCACAGTTTTAATTGTTATTATATTTACAATTCGCTCTCCCCTATGTGTCTCATTTTCACCCAATTTCTACTATTGGTGGTATAAATTGCATAAACTCTTTTAAAGGCTAATTCATTTATACATTTTTTTTAAAAGAAAATCAGACTCTGGCTGGGAGGTGGTGGTGCATGCCTTTAATCCCAGCACTTTGGAGGCAGAGGCAAATCTCAATGAGTTTGTGGCCAGCCTGGTCTACAAAATGAAACCCTGTTTTGAAAAACCAAAAAAAAAAAAAAAAAAAAAAAAAAAAAAAAAGAAAGAAAGAAAAAAAAGAAAAGAAAAAGGAAAAAAATCAGACTCTGCAAAGATGTTATAGCATTTATGTTTTGAATGTGAACCTTGTGTGTGTACACAGAACTCCAAAACCTCCTCAGCAAATGAAAGGATGTCTTCTTTAGGTCTGTATCTGTGATTGTAACATTTCTCAAGGTCTTAACTCTGTAGTTGTTCACATGTTGTGTCGGTGGGTTAATTTGTCTTTTACAGATGTCTTTAAAAACATCAGGGGTTAGACTTTGTAATTCAGATGACTTCACTTGTAAGCTCAGCTCATCTGATTCCTCATAGTGAGACACTTCTGTGCCTTTTATACTGATTTTTTTCCTGATGAATGTGTTGTCTGTTCATAACGAATACCACAAAATGCTGTTGTTATATCTAAAATTTCATACTTATAAAATATATAATCTTGCTTACTTTGTTGAATGTGATAGCCTCTGAAGTGTTATATATTTTATATTTTAAAAGTAAGTCTCCTTTAAAAAATATAAAGAGGTGAATCCGATACTTAAGATCTTTTTAAAACAGCAGTTTGTTCTGAGATTTTGATTTTGAACCTTTGAGAACTTAGAGTAAGGTTTTTGATCTTTCATCATTTCAGTATTTGGGTTTGCATCTTTGTGATTATAGCCCAAATCCCACTTTTTCAACAAACCTTCTTCTATAAGAGTTCTTATATAGTACGCTACTCTACACACACTCACCTCCCTCTATGACAATTCTTACATAGCACACTGCACACACTTACCTCCCTCCGTGACAGTTCTTATATGTACACTACTCTACACATACTTACTTCCCTCTATGACAGTTCTTACATAGCCCACTACACTACACACACTTATCCCCCTCTATGGCAGTTCTTACATAGTGCACTACTCTATACATGCTTGTCATCCTTTATGACAATTCTTATATATTACACTACGCATACTTAATTTCTCTATGACAGTTCTTACATAGTATACTACTCTACACACATTCTTACCTTCTTCTCTGACAGTTTTTACATAGTACACTACTCTTCACATATACTTACCATATAGGGGGAATTCCCGATATTCAAGACTCTGACCTTATTATAAACCTAATACTTACTTACTATTATTTGTCAGAGTGTGTGGGATACATACATCCATGTGCATGCACATGCACACACATACAACTAGTTATCCATATTTTGTTTCTATCCACTAAACTGTTACATTGGGAATAAAAATGTTTTGTTTCACCAATGCTTTATTCCTAGTCATTTAAATCTACCATGGTACATACTATTTAAGCAAAAGTTATTACAAGATGAGTAAGTGAACAGTCTACCCATTCCCTCAATAAAAATCTTGATGTTTACAGAATAAATAATTGTACATTTGTATTTCAGGAGCAGAAAACAGTTCTTCCTTCAAGGCATGTAGCGCACGAAGCCATAGAAGACTTTCTCTGTAATTTCCTGATCAAAATGGAAATGTGCAGAACCCTGGACTGCTTTCAGGCCGAATGGTGAGCCATTATGTGGATAGGTAGTTCTCTGGAAATGTTAACACATTTACATGTGTAAATTTAACTTTCTTCAAGGACTTTGCAATAATAAGTACTTTGGTTTCTTTTGCTGTTGCTGTGATACAATACAAAAGCAACTGAAGGAAGGAAAGGTTTATTTGGAAGTCAATTCTAGTTACATTATTTACAGTTGTCATGGTGGGGCCGTCAAGGCAGCTGTTGACACTGCATCTGCAGTCAGGAAGCAGAGGCCACTGAATGAGTGCACGCGCATGCTCAACTCACTTTCTCCGTTTTATACCATCCAGGGTCCCACACCCAGGTAATGCTCCTGTCCATTGTTAAAAGGGATCTTCCCAAATCAACTAACAAAATCAGAATTATCCCACGAAGATGTTCAGAGGTCCATCTTCCTGGTGATTGTAGGTTCTGTCTGTTTACAATTAACACCATCAGTGTGAGCTTACGTATATGGAATAAATCATTCCAGTCTCTATGCTGAAAGCACAGTACAGACACACTGTCCTTCCCAACAGAACTTTACTCAGTGCCTTTTCAGTATGCAAATTTAGCTTTTTTCAAGTAACCAAGGGAATGAAATGTCCTCTGGAATATATAGCAGAAAGCTATTTTTTGAAATGTTTTCCTCTTAGTTTTTTATAATTTATAATGGTATCATTTTGTGTCTTTAGATAACCCCTAACACTACTTATTTTTTATTTATGATGGAAATTATTTTTCTTTATTTATACATATGATTGATTTTTTCTAAAAATATGATTTGATTTAGAACTAAACTGAATTGTATTTTCAAATATTACCCTGCTATGATTTTCCTGTTAAAAATAACTTTAATGTCTCATTGATTGTGGAAACCAGCAGGCATGCTATCTTTATTCATTTGCTATGGTCTTTGAATTCTAGTATTTTCTAAAAAATATTAAAAGAGACACATGAAGCAAGTATGATATTGCATATCATAGAAAGTAGATATTTATACAAAAATGTTTACAGATTTTTGACTGCATATATAACATAATAAATTTTATGGGAACTGAGTTCTGTTAATAACAGATTAAGAGACAGAACATTTGCCAATAGGAAGAGAATGCTGCTTTTAAACCTGGGAAATCTGTGTATGGTTTAAAAAAAATTTTGTATAAATTTCCCTAAAGAAATAATTGCAAGTAAATTGGAAATATAGGTAGGTAGTTAATTTGAAACTAATTAGATGAAAAGTTAGTATGATTTAATTATTATGTCTTTCAAGAACATGTTAGACTTTCCAAAATGTAATGACCACCTTAAGATAATTATGATCCAAATATTATATGTCAATGTTATTTTAAACTCTTCTTTGTTATTATTATGTGTGTGTGTGCACATGTGTCAGTTTGTGTACACGTGCTTGCCATGGCACACATGTAGAAAGGCCAGTTGGAGTCAGTTTTCCTCTAACTATAGGTAGGTTCTGGGTATTGAACTCAGACATCCAGGTGTGTGTGGTAGTCAGATTTAGCCATTGAACCATTGTGACATGCCCCCAAATATATTCTTAACAAGTAGGTGATTGTAATCATACTAAGCTAGAATTCTGATTCATGAGATGAAATTTCAAGAAGCTATGATACTACTAGGATATAAGGAGTTCCTAAGAAACATACCCACTTAGCATTATATTATAATCAAAAGGTAAAACTTACAAATTTATATTTATTAACTTAGTAATATTTTGGTTTAGTTAATTTTGTCCCAGTTTCTAGCTGCTATTTTGTAGTTATTCCTATACTGGATAATTTGTCTTACATAAGATATTTTGAATTTGATCAGCAGCTGTTACCTATGCTGCATATAGTAGGACTTTAATTCGAGAATAGTGGTTAGATTAGTCTTAATTAATATGTGAAATATGGCTTGCTATGTGTCTCATGTTGACCTGTTACATATAACTCTTTTATGTTAGCCTCCTAAGTTCTTATGACTCAGCCAACCATGTTGACTGAATGTATTTTTTAGTGCAGAAAAACAAACCCCAAAGAATATGGGATTACTGTCAATTCATGTTCTCTAGCAAAAGTAACCATCAATATTGGCCTGTTGTTAGGTTGTGTTAAAAAGACAAAAAATACCAGCAAAAATCTGGGCAGTAATATTTGACTTCTGTTTTTTGAGTCCTGAAACAATAAATGCAGTACATTTTTTAACTCCAGTGTCAGAAATGTATGACCTCGGAGCCACATCTGGCCTACTTCCTGTTTGTAAATAAACTTTTATTGCAATAAAGCCATGATATCTTGTAGGTATTGAAAATGACTATATTCGTGTGATAAAAGCAATATTAATTAGTTGAAACAGAGTCTGTGAATTGCAAAGCAGAAAGCACGGTTTACAAGTTCTAAATGATTACTATTCCAGAGATCCTAATAAAAGTCCTCAAATGATTTTCTATGATATATCTATATTATACTGTATGTTTATAAAATTATATATATATATACATATGTATATATATATAATTTTATATATGCATATCAGAATGGTAGAAATTTGTTTATGGAGCACTGAAATGCCTCCATTGTAGGTTTATTCAATACTATTATTTTAGACATACTCATATGTTATTTATTATTATTCAATATTATTATTTTAGACATACTCATATGTAAAGTTAATTGATGCTGCAGGACAAAACTAAAGGGGTAAAATGAGAAAATGGCAGTGTAACTTTGAAATCCCTTAACTTCCCTGCTGTGAACATGTCCAGTCACTCAGCCAGTTGTGTTGTCATCATAAATCTCTAACTTGAAGCACAGTGTTTTTCTTTTGCTTTCTACTTCAGTTTGCCTCTGCTCCTACCATTTTCCTGAAGATAGGGTTGTACTAAAAATCCTGTTGAGCGTAATAAGAGGTGAAATTATTTATAGCATCTAATTACTAACTTAATTTGTTACCAGCTAAAGAGATTATAAGTTAGTATATAGTCCTTTAATTTATGAGCAAAAATAAATTCTGTAGCTTTTGACCAATAAAATTTGGTGTACTCTAATGACTCAGTTATGAACAGTATAGTTATAACTTCTTTCAACTAAGATCAGAATTAACATTAATTTTGAAACAATCCTTCATATTTCTTATTGTGTGTAGGAAGTGTATGTATACTGTAACTACATACCAACTCTCAGTGAATCCCAGGCAGCTAGTTATTCCTACTGATGTTTCCATCATTTAATAATTACATCGTTTAAACCTACTGATGTTTCTTCAGTTGGCTTCTGGGTATGTGCCATGTAAATGTCTCCTTATTACCATTAAACTGAACACAGGAGTGTCATGACTCTTACTATAACTTTTTTACAATTTCCAATATGCCAGATTTGAGCAGTTAAATACATGTGGATAGGTTTATGTACTAAGATATGCAGAAGTCGGCCTTCTAGAGGAGTATCTAGATTAAACACATTAGTGCAAATAATAATCACACCACTTAAATGTAAATGGCATAAAATAGTTGATATCTTAGAGCAATTGTTTGAGAATTCACTTTGTATCATTTTTATTAGTCATCTGCTGTTATGCAGTATCCACTCATTTCTGCCAACAACTGTATGTGGCAGGTATCCACTAACATATCTTCATTTCATGGATGAAGAAATGGGCTTAGAGAGGATGGAAAATCTGCTTCAGTAAATGTCACAAAGTCACAGCCAGTAAGTTGCAAAGCCATCCAGGCCAGACTGATCTTAAACCCCACTCTCTTAACTTCAGTTCTGGCTAGCGACAGGGCAAGCTTACCATGAGTTTTGATTTAAAGCTTAGATTTTTGTCTGTTTTCCATTTTGCAATTACAAGGTTGAGTACTAACTTCTTCCACTTGGCATAGGCTGTGTCTTCCTCACTGCCTTTTTATTCTAGCAAGAAAATGCAAGTTCCATACCTCCAACTCTCCTCTTTCCCACCTGCTGAGCCTACCTCAGGTGTCCTTCTCTTCTTCTGCAATACTGAACCACACAGGTGGTTCTCTGAAGCCCACTTGCTCTTCCTGATAGAATCCAACCTCTTTGTTTAGTCAAGGTTGCTGCATTTGCATGTCATCTACATTGCAGGGTTTTCCCTGTGTTGGAACCTTACCATAAGCACACAGGTGTGCAGTAGTATTTGACGTAGCAGTTACCTGGGGAAAACACCCTGGCTCTGCTTCCTGTCAAAGTTCATCTTGATTTCTGAGTCTCTCCATTATTGGCACATTTCCCTGACAAAGTTTGTTGTACTTTTCTTATTTACTACTCACATCTACTCTAGTTTGCCTTTCATCTTTTCCACCACTGAAACTTTTTAAAAGTGACTTTCACATTGCCATTTTCAGTGATTGTTCCAAACTTCTGTCAGCATTCATTTCTTCCATTAGCATTCATTGCTTTATTCTTCGGACTTTTTCTTCACTTGACGCTTGGCCACTATTTTCATAGTTTCAATTACTACTCTGGCCTTAGATTCTTTTGGTAGTGTGTGCTTCCTCCACCTCATCCCAACCTTGAAACAATGGAGTATTTTATGAAGCAATCCCAGGCATCTTTTATTTATGTCACTTCACTACCTGAACTAGTCTGTTCTAGTGTCATGACTGTAAAGCATCATTTATACACCGATGAAATGAAAGTTTAAGTTGCCTGCCTTGACTTTCCCTTGAACTATGAATGTCCATCATTTATCTTCACATGAGTGTATGCCAGGCACACTACATTTGATATAGATGGGCATAACCCCTTGGTTCTGTCAACCATCCAGTTCCTACTATCTTTGTTCCCCCTATATAAATGGCTGTCTGTTACTGATCCCCAAACCTCGATGCCATCATTGACCTGCTTCTTTGCTTATACCTGACAGATGAGTCCTTAGTGAATGCTGTTAGTGCCACATTTATAGCAGGTCTAGAAAGTTCCCTCTTATAACCTCTGCTGTATTTCGCTTTGTTCATTTTGTCATTCTCTCTCCCCAAGGTTGGGTCATGTGTTCCTTTAGAATCTGTTTCTTGGAATAGAATCACCCTTTTGAAACATAAATGTGATCACTGTCAGATTTATAGTAGCCCCCCCCCACACACACCAAATATTCCCATGGTCTCATCTTGATCCAGAGTAAAATAATTTTTTTTCTTTTAATGCTGACTCCTTGTTCTGGTTCTGACATTTCTCAGCATCTCCTCTGCTTACTTTGTTGGCTTCAGTTCCCACTATTCTGTAGATACTGGCCTTGGCTCTTTCTTGTTCAAGCTGAACATGTCTATGTCTCTGGGCCTTTGCATTTACCTTCTGCCAGCCTCAGGTTCTCTGCTTCCAGGACCCACATGGTATCATCCCTCCTTCCTTCAGCCCTCAGCTGGAGTCTCTGTCACTCATGCTTGTTAGTCATGGCTGCTCCATACAAAACAGTGCAAACACCTGCTAGTCTGTCTCCTCCATTTTCTCTGTTTCCTAGAACATATTACTATCTCAGTTTGACTAGAAATTCCTTGAGTATAAGGACTGAGATAGTTTTGACATCTTTTGTAGTAACTATATGTGTGGAACATAGATGACCCATTAAGGCAAGATTAACTGCCATTTCATGTGGATAATCTATTAATGTTTAACTTGTGAATAAAATATGGCAACTAATTTCTACCAGATTCCCTCAAGCTGACATTCTGAATTACACACAGTCATTTTTTAAACTGGGAAACTGATATAAACCCTGTTGTTTGATTTTCCCTAGGTATGAATTAATACAGAAGGGAGGGAGTGACCTCAGAGCACTCAGTAATGTTCCAGATGTCTACAACCAGGTGATGCTTCTAGAGAACGAGAACAAAAACCTGAAGAAAGATTTGAAACACTTCAGACAGGCAGCTGAGTATGTCAATACTACATTTCTCTTTTTATTTAGGTTAAATAAAAAACTAAAGATGGATTAAGCTGACATGTGATGTATTGTTTGAGGAATTTAATACTGGATCATATTTAGGTTCTGGTTGTAAGGGTGTGAAAAGCTTCCCCAGGTGAGTTAACTGAGTAGGTAACTGGAACTCCTGCCAAGCACAGCTCACCATTGGAGGGGAATTCCAGCAGTCATTTTATGTGTGTGATGATGTTTTGTGGTTTTCGAAATTTTCTCTTGTGCAGATAAGCAAATTTCTGGATGAATAATGACATTAATAGAATTAGTGGAAGGAAGAATTGGACCAATGTGTTCTCAATAGGTGAATTTCAGTCTTTTAACATTCCTCATAAGGAATAGTGTTAGCTAAGCACTTTGGGTGGTAACAAGGGCATTGCTCTAGCGGGACAGGCAATGCACATATAGGGGTGGGAGGTACATGGGTCTTCTAAGGTCCTTCTAACTTTTCCATAAACTTAAAGGTTTCTTTAAAGATAGCCTATTAATAAAGGAAATATCAATATCCACATTCTCACTCTTTCCCAGTTGCCAGTCATCCACTACAACTTTTGTTTTTCCACTGTGTATGTATAATTTTAAAATAAATACTTCAATGATGCTGTCATATTTAATAACTTACTTTTTCAGTCGAAATAAGTAGTATCTTTTTACCTTATTATTTTATGTATATTTTTATTAACATAGATTTTATTCTCAAAACTTAAAACCAATCCCAGAAGGGACACCCTTGCTTTGTAATGTGTAGGCACAGTTGAGAATCTTAACAACTAGCCGTCTTCAACTAGAAAGCACAGAATTTTCATTGTCGTTTTGTCTCCCTAAAATTAATGGAAGAAATAATTTTCGGAGAACCTGCCAAAATGTTTTGGACAAAGAACTATGGTATGTATTGACTTGGGAAGAATCTTCTCATGTCAAACAGTGTCATGTGGAAAAATCAGTCTTTAACTCCAAAAGAGAATTCATGCTTTATTTGCCCATTATTATTTAATATATTTTGGAGAACCTTTCTCTATTAAGTACATTAATACAACAATTAGATTAATCGGGCTACCTTGTGGAAGCATATTTCAATACATACTAAAAATAACTACAAATATACATGACTTTGTATTGCCAAGTGAAAGAAATATTTAATATAGCCTTTACTTTAAAAAGGCAGCAATAGGTTAGTTTACACACTTCTTGGCTCATCATGTGCACCTGTGGAAGTGCTCGGCTACTTATGCACATCCCATCTTTTCTATGTAGAATTTTATATTTTGCAAAGATTTGTGTGATTATCCACTAGACCAAGCTGCTAGAAGCATCTCCACTTTGTTCTATTCAGAAAGGCTTTACTTTATGCAGCTCTGCTTGCTATGACTTTGAATAGACAGTTTGGCCAATGGGAACTTGACATAGAACATTCCTCATAGTGCTGTCTGGAACAGTTTCATTCCTCATTTCCTTTGAGTTATTGTTTTCATTTGCTAATTTGCTTTTGAGTAGACATAGGCATTTAAGGCAATGTGTTTTACTCCAGTAATACTAAGTAATCATTGTTGATTACAGGGTATTTATTGAATAATATAGTAAGAATTGTAATGAAATTATGTAAGCTTTTACTCATGCAAATTGTTATTTTAATGTTAAAAGAAGTCATAATTAAAACAGGGACCACTCAAAAGAAGTGTTTCTTTGTATTTGCTGAACTGTCAAAGTATAGCTTCACCCTCAATAGTTTCTGGTTATTGCTTGGCTCTGTGATTGGGTGGAAATTACAGTCTAGCAAGAAGTATAGCAGACTGCAAACTGTTTATTTGCTTTGCACTTCCTTTCATGTAAATTTGAAGGAGAGCCTGTGGGCCCTTAGAGGATGCCTGCTGCTTACTGAGTGATCTTCAGTCTGGTTCTGTACCAGGGTTTGTTGAAGCAGTCACTGTGGCCTGTTTCTAATAAAATAGTGTTGGGAAATAAATGATGTCTTATAAAGTATTCTCCAGAAATAGCATTCATATATGTTTGTTTCAAAATTTAATCTTTCGAGCCTAGATTTTCTATAAGACTTATGAGGATATTTGTGTTAAACATGAGGTTCTCTTTGTGGGACTTGATTGAATGCTTACCTTTTTAAGATTAGGCTGTTTTCTAAAGACTGGATAATCATAGATATAAACTAATATTTAATAGGTGAAGAGAGTAAACTTACAGATATATCATATGACATCCTTTATCATACCGTTGATGTTTAATGATGCATTAGTTAAAATTAAGGGCTAGGTATGGCCACATGTGCACCCATAACCCAGTGTGGTGGTGGTGCTGGGGGATAGGAGGATTGATTGGGAGACATAGTGACTCCCAGTCTAGCTATGGGACCCCATAACACAAGTGAAGAGCAGATCTTATGAAACCAAGGTGTAGAGAGCGGGACATTATTGTCCTTTGATAATCGTGTGCCCACAAAGGGATTTGTATCCCCAGCATGTCCATATAACACACATAAAAAAATACATGGTGGAAGAGGAATGGCTATGGTTAGTCTTCATGGCAACATCAATGGATTTAGAAATGTCATGACACACACCTTTGTGTGACTGTGAATGTTTCCAGAAAGATCAAACTGGGCATGAAAAACTCTTTTTAATGTGGGTAGCACCATCCCACAGGCTGGGTTCCTAGACTGAATAAAGAGGAGAAAGTGAGCATTTATCTCTCACTGCTTTGTGCCTGTGTGCACAATGTGATGAGCCACCTCACATTCCTGCCTTCCTTCCTTTTCTGCCCTGACTATAGTAGTATAACTGCAGGTGTTTTATCACCGACATCAGAAAAGTAACCATCGTAGAACACTGGCACTGAGAAGTTGAGCCCGCTGTAAAAAACCTGACCATGTAGTGATAGGGTCTTTGGAGCTGGTTTGTAAGAGGAACATGAAGGTCTTTGGAGCTCTGGCCCAAAGAAGGCCTAGAATATAATAAGCAGAGGATGGTAAACAATTCCATAGAGAGGGTGAAAGATCAGAATGTCAAGACATACAGATAGTGGAGCAAAGCTCACGAGGTTTAGAGGAGAGAACTCCATACGGAACACAGTAGAGTCTATTCATTTTACATTTTGGCAAAGAATCTGGATTTATTATGTCTGAAACATGGTATCTTTAGAGAGTGAACTAATAAGTAATGGACTAATTTGTGTGAGAAGAAATTTCAAGACAGTGTAGCATTTGGACTGTGCCATAGTTACTACTGACTAATCTCATTCAGGACAATTGTGGAAGGAACAATTGGAGCATAGTGGTACATAGTTTAGTGAGGAAAGTGGTGTGAGTTTAAAGTTAAAGGCAAGGTGAGTGGCCCAGTTGTACAACTCTTTGATGTTGTGACATGACCTTGCCATTTGCAAAGTTCAATCTTGAGAACTATATAATTTAGTTGTACTAAAATCTCAATATTTTAAGCAAATGTATGGTTTTCTGTTGAACAATATTCATGTCTACCCTATGCTGGTGACTATCACAGCATCTTGGATTGTTAAAGGGGTGATCCTTATCAAATAAATCTAGTGTTCCTTTGTACTGGGACAAAAGGAAAGGTACCCTGAAGGAAAGACTTCATCTGTCACAGTTACAGCTTGTGAAAATACAAATTCATTTGAAAGGAGAGACTCTTAACCGAGAAAGCTGCTAATGGGGTTTCCTGCTTCAAAGTGGCAACCAAAGAAAACTGTTTCCCCAGGATAATCCTTGAAGGCACACCAAAGCTGCTTGCAAAGAAAGATCCAGACTACGTTCTGACCTGGTATCAGATAGATGCAGCATCCACATAATGCTAGCTTTAAACATGAAATACACAGAAGTAAGCTGGCCATAGAGGTTTCCACCAGGTTTTCAGAAAGTCTGAGTCCAGGCAGTGTGTGGCAGAAACATATTTCATGCAAGGAGCCTCTGAAAGGCTATTATGTGAGGCTGGAAAGGTGAAGGCTATGTTGCAATGAAGACCCTAGGTCCATGGAGATTCTGGAACTGTTCAGTATCCACCAAGGAAAGCACAGAGTAGATATGACCCAAATGAAAGGTCACTATGCTGCAGGTGGCACTGCTAGAGAGGTGGATCTACAGAAGACCATAGGACCCCAGATAATTTTCTTGTAAGTCCCAGATGCCAGACATGGAATGGAAGGATTTTGTGTTTCACCTACTGGACTTTATTTTTTATCTGGTATGTTCTGTCTTCCTATTATTTTCTTTTGGAATGGAAACATTTATTCTGTGCTGTTGCACATTGGAAGTAACTTGATTTTACACGGTTTATAGTTCAAAGATTGTCTTGAGTCTTGGAAGAGAGTTTAAAGTTTGCATTTTTGAACAGCATTGAGACTGTTATAAATTGTGGGAAATTTAGAGATATACTAATTAATGTTGCATTATGTGATGAAAGTAAAGGGACTTTAGGGATCAGAGATAGAATACTATAATTTAATGTGATGAGCTTGGTTGTTATGTTGACAAGCTGTGAAGTTGTGGGGTGGCTAGTCTTCATTCCAAGTTGGCTGAATTTAGAATCACTATGGAATCACACACACACACACACACACACACACACACACACACACACACACACATATATATATATGATTATTTCCAACAGGGTTAGATGGAGGAAGGAAGGCCTTGCCTGAGTTTGGGTAACAGTTTCCCATGAGATAGATAGGATCTTGGACTGAATCAAAAGAAGAAAATGTGTTAAGCTTTCATCTCTCCCTGCTTTCTGACTACAGAAATAGTGTGATGATCTTGCTCTCATTTGCCTGCTGTGACAGCACTAAACATTCAAAATGTGAATATTAATGTGAATTCTTTGTTTCTTAAGTTATGTTAGGCACATCTTTTTACTTCTTTTCAAATCACAGCAATGAGAAAAAGAATTAACATAAAAGAAAATGTTTGTCAGTAATGTAACTGATAAAATGCT